CACCTCCTAAGGAAAACACAATTATCATCTTATGGCCCCTCTACCCCAAACATACCCAATCTATGTCAATGGAAAACGGAATGTGTGACATCATCATCATCACATCACCCCCCCCCCCCCTCCACAAATCTATTAGTGTGTTGACGGTAAGTTACACGGATGGCCGCAGTGTGTGTTTCTTCTGATTCCATGCCAACCAGACAGAGAGAAAGAGAGAGAGACTATAAATCTCAATGGCCTACAGCACCTCATCAAGAGAGAGTTAGATGTGAATGAACTTTGTAAAACTGGAGACTCGCTTGTCATTGAAATGCACACACACACATTTCTCCAGTGTGACTCAGCGGGGTGACTGATGTTTGTATCGCTCAGTGGCCCCGTCGCTCTCGGCTGCCGTGGAAACTGTGGCGTCTTGAATAACTATAATATCATTAATGTGTCCGCTTCCACTTCTGCCCTGTTATTTTAATCTCAGTGTGTGTGTGTGTGAATGGAAGTGAATGATGTATGTGTGTGAGTCTGTATGATGTGTGTGTGTGTGTTAAAGTGAAGTTGGGGTTGATACGACTGCGTGTGTCTGTTATTGTAAGCACTATACGTGTGTGTATCATTACCTTTGACAGGATATTGTGTGTGTGGTCAAAGTGTATAAGTAGATGTGAGAGTAAGATTAAAATGATGTGTGTGTTAGTTTGGGCTGTATGACAATCTAAGGAGAGGATTAGGCAAAGTTTTCCTGTTTCTAAAAAGATATTTTAGTCCAGCCGACCCGTTTACCCTCATATATAAAAACACACATGCAAGCATGGACACGTGCATGCCAACACACACACCCGTCCCTTTTGCAAGGTTATCAATGACAGGTGACATCAGCTCTAAATATGCTAATGTTTGCGTGTGTGATTGTGTGTGTCCCTGTAAAAATATTTCAGTTAAGAAGACTTAAGACATAACACGAACACACATGCACAGATAGAAGATTTAGCTAATTTAGACTGACAGGGGGAAAATGGAGTTTCCACAAGGTGATAGTCACTGAAGCTCGCGCTCGCGCCCACACACACACAAACACACACACACACACACACACACACACACACACACACGAGAGTGGAAATATTTATAAAGAGCATTGTCCTACAACAGTTCCCAGAATAAAGCCTTGAAATGTGTTCCTGTGGATTCATTTGACAGTCTGCACACTAGAGCTGTTCAATTCATTGAATTATTGTTTTCAATTATGATTTTCAATTATGATTTCCTACAATTATTAAGATTTTCGAGATAAAAGGATTATTGTGCTGCATTCTGTTTTGCAATGATATACTATTTACTAGATATGATCAATCTATCTCTATCAACAGGCTATGTACCGCAGTACTTTAAAGTAGCTGTAATTAAACCTCTTCTGAAAAAGCCCAAACTTGATCCGGATGTTTTAGCCAACTATAGACCTATATCTAACCTTCCATTTCTCTCTAAGGTTCTGGAGAAAGCAGTTGCTAAACAGCTGTGTGACTTTCTACAGAGCAATAGTTTATTTGAGGATTTTCAGTCAGGATTTAGAGCTCATCATAGCAGAGAGACAGCACTGGTGAAATTTACTAACGACCTCCTTATTGCATCAGACAAAGGACTTGTCTCTGTACTGGTTTTATTAGATCTTAGTGCTGCATTTCATTGGCATTAAAGGAACCACTCTAAGCTGGTTTAAGTCCTATTTATCAGACCGATTTCAGTTTGTACATGTTAACGATGAGTCCTCCATGCGTGCCAAAGTTAGTCATGGAGTTCCTCAAGGATCTGTCCTCGGACCAATCCTCTTCACTTTATATATGCTTCCTTTAGGCAATATTATCAGGAAATTTTCCATAAGCTTTCATTGTTATGCAGATGATACTCAGTTATATCTATCGATCAAACCAGATGAAACTCATCAGTAAGCTAAACTTCAAATGTGCCTTCAGGATGTTAAAACCTGGATGACCTGTAATTTTCTCATGTTAAACTCAGATAAAACTGAAGTTATTGTTCTGGGGCCTAAGCACCTCCGTGACGCATTATCTATAGATATAGTTTCCCTTGATGGCATCGCCCTGGCCTCCAGCACCACCGTGAGGAATCTTGTTATTACACCCGAGTTATCTTTGATCAAGACATGTCGTTTAAGTCTCACATTAAGCAAATTTCAAGGACCGCCTTTTTTCACCTACGTAATATTGCGAAAATCAGGAACATCCTGTCTAAAAATTATGCAGAAAAACTAGTCCATGCATTTGTTACTTCTAGGCTGGATTACTGCAATTCCTTATTATCAGGCTGCTCGAAAAAGTCTGTTAAGACTCTTCAGCTGATCCAGAATGCTGCAGCACGTGTTCTGACAGGAACCAGGAAAAGAGATCACATTTCTCCTGTCTTAGCTTCTTTGCATTGGCTTCCAGTAAAATCCAGAATAGATTTTAAAATCATTCTTCTTACCCACAAAGCTCTTAATGGTCAGGCACCATCTTATCTTAAAGAGCTCATAGTACCTTACTACCCCACCGGAGCACTGCGCTCCCAGAATGCAGGGTTACTTGTGGTTCCTAGAGTCTCCAAAAGTAGACTAGGAGCCAGAGCGTTCAGCTATCAAGCCCCTCTCCTGTGGAACCAGGTTCCAGTTTGGGTTCAGGAGGCAGACACCATCCTAAACCATCCCTTAGTTATGCTGCTATAGGCCTAGACTGCCGGGGGATTTCCTATGATGCACTGAGCTCCTCTCTCCTCTACTTTCTCTCCCTCTGTATGCAACCTCATCCCATTATTGCATGTTACTAACACAACTTCTCCCCTTTCTGGTAGTCTTGTGCTTTCTCGTCCCTCTCCTCTCTCCTCCGATCACTTCCTGCAGGTTTTCTGGCTCTGGAGCTGTGGAGTCTGGATCTGTGGCTGCGGGTCACCTGCTGCCCCCGTGTTCCTGCTCGACACCCTCTGCTGCAACGACTATTGTTACTAGTCCTATTGTTATTATAATCATTAACATTACGATTATTATCATTAACACTACTTTAAATCTGTACCATTTTTCATTTAGTCTATAGCAACATCACCTTTACTGTCTGTACCTCTGTGTGTTGACTGTGTAGGCTGCCTCCCTCCCCTCTCTCTCCTTCCATCCCTCTCTCTCCCTCTCCTTCACCCCAACCGGTCGAGGCAGATGGCCGCCCACCCTGAGCCATGGTTCTGCTTGAGGTTTCTGCCTCTTAAAAGGAAGTTTTTCCTTGCCTCTGTCGCCTAGTGCTTGCTCTTGGTGGGAATTGTTGGGCTTCTGTAAATAACATCATAGAGTACAGTCTAGACCTGCTCTTTTATGAAAAGCGCTGTGAGATAACTGTTGTTGTGATTTGGCGCTATAAATAAAATTGAATTGAATTGAATGATGCTCTGCTATTGTCTTGTCTTATAAATTCAGCGCACTACTTTCCTTTACAGCCAACCTGTTCTCACTCCCAAGTCGTCACAATTGGACGCATGGTAAAGACCCGTCGGCCTCAGTTTGTAACGCATTGAGGATCCCCATATTGTCATATTTCAAGGCAGTGTGGGAAACCCTGTAGCGCCAGTTTTGAACGGTAAAAGTAGGTATATGATATTTAACAGAAGAGACTGAGTAAGGAGGTGGTTGGGGTGGATGGAAGGCCAGAACCCCAAATTTGAACCAGGCATCCAGGGTTCATGTTCTGTGTGAAACAAAAAGTCAACATTAAATATTTTTACGAGAGTTATGTAAATTGCGTAAGTTACACAAGTGACGTAAGTTAACTTACCTACATGTTAACTGACGTATGTAATTATTTTAACCCAAACTATGATCTTTTCCTAATCTTTACCAAGTAGTTTTTGTCTCATGACTTTAATAACATGCCGTTTTAAAATGGCAATGTTTCAAAACGCTAGCACTTTATTTTGAAAGTCTAACTGGACGTTGCATATTTATTGTTGCTACCTTGACGGCAGAGCCCTAAACATTGAAAAACATTGCTAAAGGGGTACCCAGGGCGTTAAAAAGCGACATAAAAGGGCCTTGACCAAGCGTCCATATGTGACAAGTTGGGGGTGAGAATGTGTTGTTACCACAGTGTGCTTTCACCCCTCTCTCAAAACCCAAACTCCCTCTCAGCCAGTCTGTGGCATGTTTAGTTCAGCTCAAGCAGAGACGACAGAAAGAGAGCCTTTGGTCAACAACAAAGGTAAAACCAATTCAGCTGCAGGAGTCTGACGAGGAACAACAACAAATACTGTGAAAGATTTGTTACCCGTTGGTGTCTGCACCACAAGTCTATATGACCAATTTGTTTAATCATCTGAAATTCAATCACAAAACTGAGAAAATTAAAGGCCCCTCGACTTTCCAATTAAATTAAATTGAAAGAAATTTAAAGAAAATCCACAGTTAAAAACACAACTAGTTCAATTCATGCATGCTGTTTCCTAAGTCAAGGAGTCATAGTGTGAAATAATTGAGATCTCAATATTGACCAAAACAAATCGTGATTATGATTTTTGCCATAACCCAGCAGGAAACATTTGGATTAAACTGGTTTCTGCTTATTCATATTTTACATAACAGACCCCAAGACTGCATTAAAACAGAAAAATCATGATTAACGCAGCATGATTACAGAACAGGTGAAGGGACAGAGGTGCCGATGCAAGGACTTGTGATGTGTTGTCTTGCACTGAACAGCATGGGGTCACAGATCATGAACACAAAGATAAATGTAGCAGCATTTAAGATGGGAAACAGAGATATGAAGGACATGCTGCTCTTTTGTTTGTTTTGCTAATGAAAGCCGAATAAACATATATGAAGTCACAGAAGTCTCTGTGGTAAGAAGAGAACTGTACAGTATGAAAAACATCCAGTTACTGCATGTGGAGCTATAACAACAATAATGGGCAAGGCAAAGTCTCCATCCATAACGGAACAATATAAAACATAAAATCACAAAAACAACCTCAATGGAATAAGAACAATATTTATTTGCTAATGGTATCAATTAAGAGCTACAATAAAAAATCCTGAAGTAAAAAACAGACCTTGGAGCTCAGTGGCAATAGTTTTTAAATAAATTAATGTAATGTTATTAATGACATTAATATAAAAGATCAAAAAACAAATCTATGAAATACTGAAACACTTTTCTATTTGCACTGCAGAACTTTAACCAAAACAAACCCCAGTGAGTTTCCTCTCCTGTCTCTCTGCCACGGCTCTCAGGTGTCTCTGAAGAACAAGGACAGGGGGAAGATATGGCTGCAAAGTGGGAGACAGAGACATTTACAGTTTGCTTTTGTTAACAAACTGCACATAGGATTAATGCAACTGTGGGCTCCTCCAACAAGGCTGCTACTGTTTATCATTGTTACCTTAAAAGAGCATTTGTAAGGTTGTTTGGCATGCTCTTTCAACGCGGAGACGCCTTTGTCAGTCTTTTATGTGCCTAAGGACATCTGGCGTCTCAGCTTGTCTCAACAGACACAGAAATATTGTAATTTCTGTGTTTATAATAGCTGGATTTCCCCGATCCATTTTAATCTCTGACAACTTTAGTCTTTCAGATGTAAAGTACCAATTAGCTCTTGTTTCTCCTGTGGGTGTAAAAGTCAGTCAGATCTGCAAATAAGACAGTTACGTCACTATCATCTCCACAAATATAGATTTTACCATCGCTGTGTGTAGATTTAGTGATCTGTTGTTAATTTGACAGCTTTTGCTTGTGGCATGCTAGCGAGAAACTGTTTACTGCTGGTGTGACTGCTCTGAACCTGGCTACCTCCTCTACCTCACTGCCCGCTGTGCCGTCATACCAACCTTGCCAGTCGAGTCAGAATCCCTGGCTCCACAGGTGTCCCAGAGACAGACTCTGCATTGTCTCCCTCCTCATCGCCCTCCTCCTCCCCCATGTCCTGTGTTGTCCCAGAATGCACTTCACCTGAAGTCCCACTTCCTGTGCTGACACCGGATGTCTGCTGGGGTTCCTCAAACCTCTTGGTCCCTTTCTATGAGAGAGAATTAAATAAAATAATAGTGAAAATAGAACAGAATATGAAATCTTTTTTACAGTAATACAAACGTAATTGAACTGACTGTTTGCTCACCCCTCAGACCCATAGACCGTATATAAAGATTGACGACGCATCTTTGCTTCCTCCCACTGAACAACAATGTACAAAATATCCCGGATACAGTGCTGCCGTCTTGAACTGGTGACATCATCTTCTCATTGGACTGAATAGGCGCCATCTTTGGGTTCTAATAATGCATCCATGCTACGTTTCCACAGAACGGCAATGGTCCAATCATAGCTTTGCAAAGCTTTGGATTTCTCCACATTTTGAAGCGGTGTGCATGGGCTTTGGTAACAGCAATAATCCATATGAAAAGAGTTTGAAGAGTTGTGTCTTTTACAGGAGCATGAGGGTAAGGAAAAGGGTAAAAAACTCAACCAGAGAGATGATGTTAGTTAGCTAGCTAATAAAATATGCTAATGGTGGTTTTCATTTCAGACAGTAAAATCGACGCTCGTGACTATGAGAAGCCTGCTTCCACCTAAAGTGGAGGACCGACTGTAAATCTCACTGACATCATTATAAACTGCATACGTGCCTTGCTAGAATGGAAAACTTGATTGGGGCAGCAACAATAACTATGAGTGGTGGGGCTTAGCTTCGGTCAATTGGACTCTTCCATTTGCTTCAGTGTCAAAGTGGCTTTTGAGCTTGAATTGGAAACCCAACATTTTTTCTTCATCTTTTGACTACATTTGTCTTGAATTTGTTTGTGCAATCAAAACATATGCTTAATGATCACCTTCATTGTTCAAAGTTAATCCATTTTAAAGCAATGGGCTGACAAATCATTTTTTCCACTTGAAACAAATGTAAGGGGAAAAAGGTAAGCTAGAGAAGGAAGTCAGCGTGGACAAGTGTATGAAAAACCAAAAGGATTAGATGAGATGAAGGGCCATAGAGGGAAGGAGAGTGGGGCGGAGGGTAATTTTGGGACTTTGTTGCTAATCAAACTGAAGCACATCACCAGAAACACACATTCTCTCACATACACACAATCACACAGAAACATGTACTCCCTGTCTGATGTAATGCTATTATTACCCTTAATCACACTTGTTATCCTACCTGTCTGCACTAATGTTAGCCTGGGGCAACAATAAAGACTGTGATGCTACAAGTGTGTGTGTTTATAGATGTGGTAGAGAGGAAACCAAAGCGTGCTATGAGACTGATCAATCAATTAATTCTAAACAACTTTGGGCTCAAATTCATTTGGCATTTGAGCGACAAACCAGGTAACCAGTCAAAGAAAAGGATCACCTTGTCAGCATGTCCTGGACCTTCCTTGACCTCTCTCCCTGCACGAGGATTGTCCACATGCAGCCTGAGAAAGTGGGACACAACCAAGAACAGAGCAATTACTGTTGTTCAAGTGAGTAAAATTTTGTTCTTGATTCTTATGTTTATGTAGTCATCAGAGAACCAGGATACCCAACATGAGGGTTATGAAATGCTTGTCCCCCCAAACAATCTATGAGCAGTCTGTTATCAGACTGGCACAGAAAACAGTACCTGATCCAACTCACATTCTCCACCTAGCTCTTACCCTCTGCTAGAAGATTCAGGGATCCCCAGAGCAGGCTGAACCGTTCACAAGAGACAAGACCGGCGTGAGCTGAAAGAGCTGTCAGGATGCAGAACAGATGCCGAGCTGGCCTCCTTGCTGTTGGACTAGTCAGTTATAACTTCGTAGCTGACTTGAAAGTCGTAGCTAACTTAAAAGTTGTTGACTCGAGCAAAATCAGATTTTTTGAACTTGAGTTGATAATAGCAACCTTACTAGATAACACACTCGGTCATCTGTACTGTTATTTATGTGCACTTGGGTAAGTTGCTGTCTAGCTTTGTTGGTTAGCTTGCCACCCAAATTCCGAGCAACATCATGTAACTTTTCTACCATAAAATAACAGCTGGTGAGGAGCTGTGCTGGTGTCATGCCGGAGCAGGGGAGCAGGCAACATAAACGGGGGTCAGCAGCCTCTATTGACGTAACGTTAGCTAATAGCAGAGGGCAAAGAGTCAGAAGAGGAGGTTGACGGAGGAAATTAAGAAGAGAAAGAGACAGTGACCAAGCAAGAGGCTGCCGGAAGTTTGGTGTGTTAGAAATGTTGGCGACCCGCTAGTTTTTTAACATAAGTAATTTAATCAAACCAAAAGCACATGTACAGGTGTCCTTACTAACGACAGTGGTGTGTGCCAAATCTCACAAAACACAAAAATTTTTTCAAGCCGTTACATGGCGGGCCAGAGCATAGTCAAATTATTTCAAACCCTTAGATACTTGCATGTTTAGCTCGGTCAGTAGAGTGCAGGACTCCCGTTGGGTGAGTTCTATGATCGACCCCAACATCCTGCAGACTTTTTATTTCTCCCTTGTTAAAAATTGATTATAAGGACCCTTTTGCACATGCTCACAATAAAGCATGTGCTGCAGTGTGTGCATGTCCCGGCGTTTGATCCGCATTCATAAACCTATGGACGCTTATTTTCTTTTCCCTGAGGAAATTCAGGCGAATCCAATCACACGTTTCCAGACATTTTTTCAGAGGTGTGTCAATCAAGCCAGAGACTCTTTTGAATGTCCTTCAGAACTTTTCAAAGTAAAAGCTCTCCGTAAACTCAACATGAAGCATTGCTGCAATTTATTTAAGTTATATATTTTTCTGCTATCAAAGCAATCAGGCCGCCTATTGTCAACCACTGCTATATAGGAATAGGGTCTACCATATAATGAAAATCAGTGCTCATCTGTCAATGTCACTGTTTTGTATTTAAATTGGTGGGTGTCCTGCCTCACAGTGCAGGCCTCCAAAGGCCTTTAGTTACATCTAAGTGAATTAAAACGCCTAACTTTTACCTAACTAACACCAACATTTCTCTCTTAGATGCTCTTTGTTGACAAGTGTGATTGCATGGCTGTCACAACAGGGTGCACCTTATCGAATACATTACAGTCTTTTAACAGACACTTTGTGACAAAGCGACTTAAAAGAAGCTCATTCAGCCTCCAACAGCAGCATGAGCTAGACGTCGTCGAAAATATTTATAATCTTACAGTGCAGAGCAGACAGGAGAAACTACATAGGCTGATCAGTGGCTTAAATATTACTGTATTCAGCTGACTTGAATGAGCGTCAGCTGCAGAGGGACATAAGAATCCAGCAACAGGCTACAGCACTCAGAGCCTCAGCTCCAGTGATCTAAAATTCATAGTGGTGCAGACATAACTGAAGGCCTGTCAAAGGGAAAAGGAGGCCTTTTACTCAACAGAACCAAATAATCCACAATATGGGGCCCTTAGCAGACAAATAAGCGACAATGACAAGCAGCTGAAACACTGCAGAAGAGGCCTGCCTCAGAGTTTGAAAAGTGAGAGCAAACTCTAGTAAGGGAGAAAGAAGAAGTCTGAGGAGATGTTTCTGGCTCAGCAGGATGCTGAATGTGCAGACACTAACCAGCTGTCACCTCAGGGACCTACGTGAGAGCCAGCAGACCCTCGAGGAGAAAGAGAAAGAGTGGATACAAGAGCAGAACTGTCTTCTGGAGTAGGAGTCCAAAAAGATGACTTTTTGCTGAGTAGAACAATCAATGCAAAAAAAAAATGTGTTGAGAACAAATGTACAAGCTGTCATTGTCCGTTCTATGTCCACACTTGTTCTTTTTCTACTCCCATTTTTCCAGCAGGTTTAACACAAAAACAAACCACCTGTCTCTCCAGGGCATCATCTAGGAAGCCTCTGAGACTAGAAGGTGCCGTGTGCTGCCAGTGTGTGTGGACTTGTACCTCTTATGTGTAGCACCTTTGTAAGGACATGTAATTGTAATGGTCAATGTGGTGTACATAATTCAGCGAGAATTGCTCACTGAAATTTGGTTTCCTGTGAACTGGTAATGATGCTTGAGGCCCTGCTGTTTGCTGGATGTTTACACAGTTTGTGCATCTGAGTGTGTGCTCCTCAGCTCTAAAAGATGGAGACAATTCTGTTTATTCAAGTTACATATAAACTAGGTGGAGGGCAAGACCTTGTTTGTGTGTGTGAGTGTGCGCATTTTAAATAATAATTTTCGCCCCACTGATCTGACTGTCAGTGTGATTGAGGTGGCGCCCGTTCGCCTATTTTGTCTTGTTTCATAACTGCAAGAATCACTGGAGCGTGTGTGTGTGTGTGAAACAGGGCAGTTGTCAGAATGGATGTCTTAGTGATTTTATGAATAAGAGCACTTATTGTCATCTCTACACTATGTGTATACAGGTTTGTGTTTGTGTGTGTGTGTGTGTGTGTGTGGACGATGAGTGAACAAGCTTTCTATTATTGCTCCCATCATCTTCGGCACATTATCTAATCTAATATTATCCATATCACCACCCTTATAACAATACATACTGTTCACACTGACGAGGAATAAGGAAAATAATCAATGACAGCTTTGCAAATCGATGCACCCATGCATACTTTTTGTCAATAAACCTTACAGCACACTGTAATCTATGATGAAGCCAATAATGCCTGCTGTGTTGCTACTGTCACAAAAACGTACCTGCCAGTTTTATCATTAAGATGTGGTGATACAAAGACAATGTAATTCTTACATTATACAGTATACTGGTGAAAGAGAGAGAGCTTTATGCATCCTTCACTTTCTTATCCCAGAGCCAATCCAGAGACCTCATTTAGCAACCTCTCTAAAATCACTATATGTAATGTTATACTGCAAAATGTATTTGTTATACATTTTCTGCTAAATCAATGTAGAAACTTGATGGATACAACAATAGGAATGTTTGTTTTTGAAGTTTGTGATGCAAAATAAAATACATAAATCCACTTTTAATTTGATTGGTTTGCAACACATGCCCACAGTGCCCTTAGACACAAAGATATTCAATGGATAGTTAGCATAAGTATAAATGGTACGGGGAAATCTGTGACAATTTATATTTATATTGTCTAACGATATACGTACCCTAGTAGAGACAATGGCGAATCAACTTATAACTGACTTATAGCCAGACACACACATGCACGTGCACACGCACACACACACACTCTTAAAAACATGATTCACATGAGAGCCTCTGTGACCACAATGTTGCTGTTCTGTACAGCTCTAACTAAATAAAAATAAGGAATAAGAAATAGGGTCACAGGTTTAATCAAATTGTAGTTTCTTTTCTAAGCTTCTTTCTTGGAACACTGTAAGAGAAAAACAGATTTGTGTTTTCTTAAGGTTAAATGTGACCTATAGATTAGCTCTACAGCACTCACCCATCCACAGAAACCTCACTTTCAGCCTCCAAGTCATTGATTAAGTCCTTTACTATGGCCTCCTCTAGTGGTGAATGTCTTTTACAGCGCTTTGACTCTGGCTCACAAACAGAGGGGAATCGCTGTGCGACCTCTTTCTCCTAGAGAACACACAGTGATGTACTGTATAACACATGGCATGGGGTGGATATTAGATCACTTGTACACAACTGTGGGTGTACAATATATCTGCTCTGCAACAAACTGCAAACGATTATTATGGAAAAACGGCACAACTGATGTCAAATCTACTCCAAGAAAAGGTTACATCTTCTTAGCTTTGCTTTTAAATAGCCTTAATATGATTGTATTTATTCATTCATTCTTTGACTTTATACTAAATTATTTTAATGTCTTGTAATACCTGCCTCTACTACTTTTTATTACCTACACTATACTTTTGTTTGTAGATTTTTATACCCTGTACAGCACATTGAACTGCCCTGGAGTATGAATTGTGCTATATAAATAAAGTTGCCTTGCCAATAATAATGTCTGGCGCTGCATTCTGAGGTGTTGTTGTATTGCAGTGTTATTTTGAAAGACGCACATTGTATTTATCTCCACAATGTACAACTCTGGACATACTACACACTGTAGCCTGTATTCTTACTTCGTTTTACGTGAATAACAGAACAACTCACTGGGCTCAACGTCTTCTCTGCTTGCTTTTCTGAAACAAGAGAAACAAAGAACATGAGACATTAACATGCCTGAAGAGTACCTTCCTTTTACAGGCCTGACCACTGTTTTACACAGAAAAAGACACCTGCATGTACACGCTCAGTTAATCAGGACAAGCTCTTTCTTTTCTATGAACACGGGCCCTGAAAAAGGCACAGCCCCTCCACCCTGTATCCACTCTTCATCTGCAGGTGAAGAATATCGGGTCATATCGGGCTTTGCACAAGCCGTTGAAGCTCTTTATAAAGATGAATCACAATTTACTTAAAGAGTGACTGATGTTTTAGCACTTGTCAGGAAGAGTGACTTTTCTTAGAACAAAATTTTCAGTCCGTAACCTTAATTACTACAGTATCTAGTAATGTCTTTGTACTGATAACGTAACATGTCTTTGTACTGATAATGTAATGCTTTGCAAGCACAAGATGTATTTTGTGAATACTCTATCATCACAACAACTGTGAGCTTTTGCTCATGCGTGTTCATGCTCACCATTCAGCACGTTTTTCTCCAGGTAGAGGATAAGAACAAACGGGTAGACTCTCAGCCTTCTCTCGCCATTTCTGCACATTACCTTAGACGCTCCCTCCCACCGCTTCTTATCTGGTAGTTACAGTTAATTAAACACAGTGAACTTCTAGTTAACAAGCATTTAGCAAGTGCACAATCAGTAGCAATATTCTTTGGTCTGTATTTTTCAGTACAGTGGTTTAAAGACAGGACACTTAGCTGCTAAAGTACCGTGCCCTAAAGCACTGAATATTAGCTGTGACCCTCTTTCCTTTAGATTATGTCTGCAAATAACAATTATTTTAACAATTATTAATCAATTAGTTGTTAGATCCAGAAAACTGTGAAAAATGACAATCAGTGTTTCCCAAAACCAAAGGTGACATGCTCAAATGTCTTGTTTTGTCCACAACCCAAATACATTCAGTTTTTCTGTCACAGAGTAAAGAAACCACAAAATATTCATATTTAAGAAACTGAAATCAGAGAATTTGGACGTTTAAAAGCGATTAATTGCTTATCAAAATAGTTGACAATTAATTTAATAGCTGACAACTAATTGATTAATTGACTAACTGTTTCCGCTCTACAAGGGCTTCACTTTGTGTTGAAAAGTGGTGGGGACATAGGGGTGAGAAGAGACACTAAGCTCGCGAGACATCACGATACGCAACAATAGGTTGAGAACGAGACAAAACATCGTTAAACTGTGTTTTAAAGATATCCTCAATGCTGAGATAAATAAGCGGGGGGTCTGGGGGGACCTCCCCCATGAAATTTTGATCATTAAACACTTCATTTCCTGCATTCTGGTGAATGTTTCTGCACCAATTTATGCTGGAAATGTTTTTATTTATGTAAAAGGAAACACAAAATTCAGGTGGTAAGTGACATTTCAAAATATATAATATAATAGAATATAAGTCAGTGCAGCTCTTCAACTTTTCTCTATCAACTTTTCTCATGTAATATCATCCCTGCTGAGGCAACAAGAAGTTTTTAAAGTTACTGATTGGTGCTGCACATTTTTGGGTTATTTTATAACCAGTAGCTTGTTTTTTTGTTTTTAGCTCAAGTTACTTTTCCTGGACAATGCACATTTGTTTCTTCTATATTTTAATTGCACTGTATGTTTTCTTAATGTGCAAATAAATCTTTCTAAAAGCATTTTCATTTGCTATTTAACTGCAAGCTATATTTCAAAATGTTTTTTTTTGCTTTAAAAAAGTGACAAAATCAGCCATTTCAGAAAGTGGTGGGGACATTTCCCCAGCGTCCCCAGTGTAAATGACACCTATGCCGCTCTACATTAGATCCCCACTTTGTCTTATTCCCTTACTCTTTACAATTTACTACATAAAACACAGATGTATGATGTAACAATACTATTGGTGAAAGCTGGTGCGCATCTGCGTGACCTCATGCCCATGTACCATGAAGGCTGGAACTGCAGTGGAGAGATTTACAGTATATAGTGGAGAATAGAGGAATAGGTCAACATCTAACAGACAAATAGATGTAAAGGATACAAGGGAAGACAATGAAGTGGGTACTAGAAAAGGGTTGGAGGGCGTCCAGGTTGCCGAGAACAGTTCTGATAATTTCCTGAAATCAGAGAAGAGTAAGAAAGAGAGACAGAATTAAATAGAGAGAAATAACGTACACAATTAATTTAATAAAGAATAGTGTGAATGACAGCGTGTCAACACAGCAGGCGAGCAGTATCCATAATTACCTCCAGTTCCTGATTGAAGCAGCTTCCTCCCATAACCTCCTCTCCACTGATAAAATACATTGTACACATTATACTGTGTTCACAACACATTTGTGTCTTAAAAGATGTTGTTATACAGTATTAGCAGTTGAGGTTTTGCTAATTTTTCAAATGTTGTAAAGCTGATTAGAGTACAAGGCAATGTGTACATCAGTGGATGCTTTAAACAGATTTAACTGTTGAGCACCAAGGTCAAAAGCAAGAATACATAATGTTGCAATGCTGCTGAGCATTGAGAGTCTTCTTTAGTCACAAGGAAATATGGCTTTAAGGCATCCAGGATCTGTTAGGACTCTTATTCTAGGACGTTATCTCTGAATAAAGGCAGAGAGATCCTGAGGGGCCTGTTTTAGCAGATGAAACGAAATGTCAGAGCAAACTGGAAACACACACCAGAACATGTAATAGTGGGGCCATTATAGGCAGCAGTGTTGGAGTTAAAATGGAGAAAACCAATCAATGTTTCCTCTCTTGCCTGAAGCTCAGCCGTCTCCCCGACTACTTTAAAGGCTGCAGAACATTTTGCAATGCTTTGGAGAATTTTATCTTCAGGAGAAAAAGCAAAGCGAAGAATGGAAGGAAACTGTGAGTGGAGGCAGCATCGATCAATACTCTTCCTCTTACTGGTATGTTTGTCTTAGGGATTTTGAGCTTGTGTTGTGTGCACTGCTTTCAAGACAAGAAATGAAGAGTGAAAAAAGAGAAGGAACTAATAATGGGGAGAGATCTAAAGAATGAAAAACTACAAACAATGACTCACGTCTGCAGTTGCTCTAAGAGCCTAGTTTCTGTTTTAGATTTAGTCTCAAAACCCTTTTTTCTCAGGCTAGTCATCTCTATCTTGGTGGTACCCTAATCTTCCTATAGGCAACATAGATGGCCACCTGGTTGCGCCCAGAAACACACTAGAGCTGATATGTGTGTTGGTATCTCATTAGCTCTTCCTCTTGTTTGTAATAATTTAATGTGCAGTACTTCTACTGTAGAACAGTTTTTCTGGTCTTGTCTTGCTCTCATATTGTACTTCTTGCTCTCACCAAAAGGCAGAACATTAGAGGAAGGAAGAATAAACATTAGGCATAAATATGAGGCCATTGTCTGTCTTGCCTGTAGCTGCTGCCTCCTCTGATCCTGAACTTGTAGATGAAACTACCAGCTTTGAAGCATCGAGTTTCGTGGACAGGGAAGGAGAAGGCCTGCAGTGGCATGGCTGACCTAAACTGGTTTGGGCAACAAAATCAAACAAACAGATTAATTGGTGGTCTTTTTGGTTCACAGGGCGTCCAATATACAGAAGAGTGAAACTGCTTGCTGCTTGCTAAATTTAAGCTAAAGTCACCTGCCTTCCCGCATAAAAACTCTTGGCTCCCTCTCTCTTAAAATGACCATGTCTAAAGAAAACGAAGAGCATGAAATTGGCAGGTCGTCTAACAAGCCTCACATCAAACTTCACCATCCAGCAGCAGGCCCACAGTCAATCAAAAGCTTCACTTGCCTCAGAGTCGGAGGGCAGCGCAACCTCCCGCCTAGCTGCTCTGGTGTTACTATGACGGTACGCCGCCAAACAGTCACGTGACTATCAGATGACCACGTGCGGCAGAAAGGAGTAGTTGTAAAAAAAATTCTCTTTTGTTTAAAAATGCTTTTAATGAAACTTCATGGCACACATATACACATGACAGCAGGCAAAGTAGTTGTTAACTTACCTCTCTGTACAATATAGGTTGATGCTTTTTAAGCATTTTTTGAATTTGTGTCTGGGGTGAATGTAAACAACAGCAACAAGATGATAATATGGTTTCATCTTCACATTAAAAGTCTGACATTTATGTCTCACTCAACTCTCTCTCACTCTTTAACAGTACTGGATAGACGAAATAGTCCATACAAAAACAAGTCCTCCTCTTCCTCCTCCTCCACTACATCATCTGTCCTCCTAAATTCAGGGGTTCAGCTGTCCCTCCTGGGTTTGTGGACCTACAAGTTGTTGAGTCCTGAAGATGTCTACTGGGCTGTTGACGCAGCGCTGCTTGCTGTCCACCGGAACAAAGCTGACTTGGGCCGAGCCCTGAAGGAGCTCCTGCCTAAACGTGGCTTTAACAGAGAGGATGTGTTTTTGTTATTTACATAAAATGTTTTCTTGATCTGATTGTTGTGGCTGTGTGAAAGTAACATTACTTGTCTATAATGGCCTTATTGTTATACCCACATGACATGATTTTGTTCCATGTGGAGGCACTGAATCTCAGTCAGGTTTGATTCTCAAAAGCACAGTGTAGCTGTCTCAACAATCTTCTCCCTCTTTCTCTCTGCAGTAAGCTGGGCCCCGAGGATCAGGGTAAGAGGGCCATGGAAGGAGCTCTCAACAGTCTGTCACAGCTGGACATGTGTTACATTGACCTCTACCTGATCCACTGGCTGTGCGCAGGGTCTGGTAGTGGCTGACCAACGCAACCCAGGTAAACAGTTCATATTACGTCAATGTTCAATAAATTACATTTGTAGCACAAACACTTAGGTCTTTTGTTCCTCTCAAGATCCTGTTGCGCTGGGCTATGCAGCAGGTCATCCCAGTGCTCCCCAAGTCATCAAATCCAGACAGAATAAAGGACAATGACACAGACATGGACGGACTGACAGCTTTGGACTGTGGGCACAAGTACTGCTGGGATCCATCAGAAGTGTTGTGATAGACCACTAGTGGAACAAACATCGTCATTTTCCCAGTGGTCTACAAATTTGTTTAGACTAGTTCCATATTCATATACTTTGTTGCCTCATTTATTTAGTTATTTAATCATGTTTTTACAAAGTAATGTCTATGAAGTACTACACATTTTCAGCGAAAAAGATACATTTTCAAAGTGTCCTCTGTCCTGCATAATTTTAAAGAATTACACAAGAAACTCACTTTAACACAACTTTTTAATAATTTATTCAGGAAAGCAAATCAGACGTTTTACAGCTGTAGAGAGAACACACGTTAAATAGTAATTAAAACATGAAAATGAAGAATAATTTGTGTAGGTGTGCGTCTCTTGCTCGCCCTTCAAGTTACCGTAATGTCTACAGAGGATGGTGAACATGAAATTGGGGGGAAACTTCGCCCTCCAGCAGGAAGTCAACAGTTAAAACCGGGACGTCAATGAAATGCCTCGAGATCATCGGATTCGCTGAACAGGACGAGTTCCCGCCTTCCGGGCTCTTGGCCTTCTTTGATTAGCTAGATCTTCTTCCAGTCAGCGGCTTCAGAGCAGGTGTCACTATGGTGACGGCAAAAACCGTCACTCACATGACTGTCAGCTGACCACGTGTAGCGGGAAGGAGCCGTTGTAAATAGTCTTCTGTCCAACGGTTAAAGTTAGAAGTAATGTTTAATTAGCTTTTTATTACTCGTGACATTATCTTTCATTGACACTTTTTCTTTAGTATGTGAATAGGCGACAGGTCGGTTTCTATTTATGCATCTCTCCCTCTAAAGAATTCAACTGAAAAGGTCCAAAAGGTGAGACGAAAATATGTATGATCTTTTACCGTGGCATCAGCATTCAATGACGTTCCTACCCAGCCTTAACATAACGTATCTACGTCTCAGCGAATAGTACGCCATTATAGATTTCCAAGTTTCTAACATTGCATCCCTGCAATGTTTGTTCTCATGACTGTAACAGTGGAACATGTTCTAAAACTACATCGTTGTAGGTTCTTTGTTTGACCCACTGCAATCATTGTACTCACTGCATTGTGACGTTCCAGCGTTTTAACGCTGCGTCATCGTCACAATGTTTCTACATCAGTGCGACGTACCATCGGTCCGGCACTGCAAATTGTAACAATTTTAATACTTTATGGTGCATTGTGACGTTGCAGCGTTCTGAGAGTCTGTGTCATACAGTGTTTGCACTCACTGTCACATCCACTGCCTCATTGCACAACTAGTAGCATTGTGACCTGTCAACGGTTCAGTACTGTAGCACCATTGGTACTCATTTACTACATTACAACACCATGACCTTCCTCTGTAATGAAACTGGTTGAAAATAGTTGTGGAGAACCTGGAGAAATCAGTGTAACCTTTCCGCTTCTCCACCCAGTGCAGTATACCAGTCCCAATACAACCATGTTAATATTTACTACCCTAGAAACCCTCAATTTATGTCTTACTTAGCTCTCTCTCCTAGGGATGCACGATGTTGGATTTTGGCCGATATGTGGATATTTTCAACTCATTTTGGCTGATTGCAGATACTGATATCATATTTTTTCCCCACATACTGTAATTGCAGATGAATATCAAGTCTCTCCTGTAGTGGAATTATCTTATCATTATGCCTACTCTTATCGTGATGGCCCACTCACACAACACTTTTCAAAATGTACACGTTCACTGGGCAAAACAAGAAAACTACAGCTACTGCTTTTATTCCCGCTGGTGCACGTTTCTCTTTGGTCTTCACGAATTCATCATCATGATTGCTTGATGGCTCATAAGATGGGCAATTTGATTAGTAGAGTTTAAAGAATGTGATTTGGCTCCTTCTCACATGACACCGAGCAATCATTGCAGTTAGCAACTTTGCTATCTGTTTTGGACACTTCATAAAACCTCCACACTGCAGACATACTCTCGTCTTGTGCACATAATTAAAGTGTCACCTGATTGGCCTGCGATATATAGGCGAAAAATGTTTATTGAAGGCCGATACCAATATTTAACTTTAAAGCCTTTATCGCCCGATACAAATGATGCATCTCTACTCTCTCCCTCTTTAACAGTGTTGGACTCCAAATTCTGTTGTGTGGTTTTTGACAATGCAATGACAATAAAGGCTATTCTATTCTATTCTATTCTAGACCAAATAGTCCAAACACTGTACAAAGAAGAAGTGCCTTTAAGATCAGATGTCCTCCTCTTCTTCCTCCTCACACTCCTCCTCCACTACTACGTCCGTTCTCCTGAATACAGGGGTTCAGATGCCCCTCCTGGGTTTGGGGACCTACAAGTTGTTGAGTCCTGAAGAGGTCTACCGGGCTGTGGACGCAGCGCTGCTTGCTGGTTATCGGGCCTTTGACAGTGCAGCTGTCTACCGAAACGAAGCTGACCTGGGCCGAGCCCTGAAGGAGCTCCTGCCTAAACATGGCTTAACCAGAGAGGATGTGTTCATAACCAGGTGATATACAGTGCATGAGCCCCTATACAGTACCTTTCAAAACAGCACGGGCATGTCAGTAAATAAGTGACCTGCAGCGTTACGCCTCATATAGCACAATCTTTAGTTCCAGCTATTTTATGCATAACATACACGTCGTCTTGAATACAGCTGGAAGATACACATATTGATCACATCAGATGTTTTTTTTAGAGGCCATATGGAGGCACTGAAGCACAGTCTGCCGTTCTCAACAATCCTCTCTCTCTTTCTCTCTGCAGTAAGCTGGGCCCCAAGGATCAGGGTGAGAGGGCCTTGGAAGGAGCTCTCAACAGTCTGTCACAGCTGGACTTGGGTTACATTGACCTCTACCTGATCCACTGGCCGGGCACACAGGGTCTGGTAGTGGCTGACCAACGCAACCCAGGTAAACAGTTCATATTAAGTGAATGTTTGCCTTCGTGTATCAAATAATCACTGAAAACATAACCCTGTATGTACGGCCTGTAAGTACATATATGTTGTTATATGTTTGACTTTGCTTTTGCCAGGGGTATCGAGTGTTTTATAAATAAGTGCTCCACTAATTAAGAAATAAGATTCAAGCTGTCTTCTCACTTTCCTCCTCCACTGTGTAATTGTACTTGAGTAACACTGACAATGAGGCCCTAATTAATTTTTGATTCCAGGCAACCGAGCTCAGAGTTGGGCCACACTGGAGGAGCTGCATGCCCAGGGGAAGCTGAAGGCCATAGGAGTGTCCAACTACACACCAGCGCACATGAGAGAACTGATACAGAGCTGCAAGATCCCTCCTGCGGTGCTACAGGTAGATTGCATGAGTGAAAGGAGGATAGATAACTTTTAATGTACATAATGGTACTTGAATATACCAACATAGTTATTCTTCGACAGGTAGAATTTCACCCACGGCTGTGCCAGACGGAGCTGAGGAGTGTGTGTGAGGAGTATGGGGTATGTTTTCAAGCCTACTCCTCATTAGGGAAAGGAGAGCTGATCACTGACCCTGTGGTCATGGAGGTGGCAAAGAACTGTGAACGAACACCTGCACAGGTAAACACACACACAAAACATCTTGATTAATGTCTTTTTAGGGCCAGCCTCACCTACTCATTGTTCAACATCTAATATTAGAAAAAACACTTAGGTCTTTTTTGTTCCTCTCCAGGTCCTGTTGCGCTGGGCTGTGCAGCAGGGCGTCCCGGTGCTGCCAAAGTCGTCAAATCCAGACAGAATAAAGGACAATGCCAGGCTTTTTGACTTTGCACTGAGTGACACAGACATGGACAGACTGACAGCTTTGGACTGTGCTCACAAGTACTGCTGGGATCCATCAGAAGTAGTTTGATAGACCACTAGTGGAACAAACTTCAATCATCTTCCCTGATGCATCTTTAATGCCGCTGTTTTTCAGTTCTGCCTGTCAATAATGTGGTGGTGGGAAACCACCAGAAAAAGCTGGAAATTGTGTTCAGCTGATTTTTTTTTTTCCTGGGTTGCCAGCAGATTTCATGTGGTAAATAGGATAATGTATTGAGGATTTAGTTAAATGAGATATGTGAGAGTTCAAGTAACATTGGCTAATAGGTTTTCCCTGTTTAATGTGACCCATATCCCATGAAACACTGAGAGCCTTTTCAGGCAGTACATACATACTAACCACATTTTCCCTGTTGTATACAAATCTGTCAGTGTGCCAGGATTTTAAGAGTAGTTCCATATTCTTTGTTGCCTCATACTGTTCTTTAATCATACTTTTACAAAGTGAAGTTTGTTCCAGCTTTCCTGTTTGAATTGGCCATGAATTAAACAGTCACTTTAAAACCACTCTTAAATGATTTATTCAGGACAGCATTTACCAGAAGTTTCACAGCTGTAGAGAAAATACATTTACAAAAGTCATTTAAAAAAAATAAAAAAAAGAATCCAACAAAAAAAGAAGTAAATATTTTAATTCAATTTTCTTCATACACATCTCCAGATTCAAGTAATACCAAGGATGGTTGCAAAACTCCAGGTGCCCAGGCATGTTTTTCCTCTGGGGTGTGTTCACTGTTACACATGTTTAAAAGCCAAAAACCACGACATCTTCTGACTTGGCTTTTCCAGCTAAAATCAGTGTTAGCCATTAATAAAGTTTTTTTTTCTCACAGTTGTGACAGCAAACGCACCTTCACATTGTGCTTTTATTCGTGAGCGTAATATGCGACAGCAAGCTGCAAAGTTTTAAGGCGGTAGTTTGGTAAACAGTGCTGGCTATGTGGTGCCACATAACAGGTAACAGCATGTTCAAGGCAGTTCATAACAATATTATACTCCAGCTGAACTTTATTTTCCAGAGAGTGAAGCATTCACATCTGGCCTCAAGCTCTTAACAACATGTACATATTCAAGTGTGTGTGTGAGAAATCTGATACCATAAAATGTTGGCGTTACTTCTTTTTTTTTAAAGGAGTAAGTCGTTTAAATGTCCCCACTGAGTCTAACAGTATTAAATGTGTTGGGAGCTTTATACCAGATACCAATTCATTTTAAAAAGGGTCATCAATGTTTCTATAAGTTCATCTTAACACAGTCAGGGTGATGCATATGGTGCTAAACACACGGCAGAGTTGGATGAAGCTTGAAAAAGGGTGGTGCCTTTCTAGATTGTCGAGAATTCTCTGATTTAAAAATTGTCTACAGCCACGTTTAAGAAAAGGTTTCAGTTCAAAGACAAAACAAACGCAGCCCCTTAGCCTGCACACCCGAGCACTTCACAACTCAACCCTACAAGTCGAAGAGGAAGAGAATAAGACACACGTAGAACAAGCCTATTACCATTTTCATTAATCACGTATGGATCAACAAGTCTCAAATAGCCTAATCATATTTACCAAGCCATGTAGAGGTGCTGATCTTACTTTAGAATCACTAATATGAAGAGTAATTACTTCCATAAAAAGGTCATATTCTGTGTAGTAAGAGCCAAGTAATCCTAAAATGCCTGAATATAATACATACATAACAAATCTGGCATCAGATCAGTACACCTAGACCTTTTATAAATTATAAATATCCAACAGGACTGGAAACTGATTTTCCTAAAAAACCAAAACGTTGCAAATAGTTGGGGAAAATAAGGTTTAAATCCCTTACACCTGTGTTTAAATGTGACAAGACTCGCTAAATCCATCTTCTATATGCACTGGCTACTGAGCAAATGGGGCCAAAGGCTAGCGTGTTGTCTCCCTGTACAGCAGTTAATTCATCCCCACCCACATCTTTAAACACGCACATTACATTTACCACAACAGCCATGGATTGTTCACTGCCTATTGCTAGGGTGGCCAAACTTATCAAAGAGCACGGTAACTTCATAAAATAGGAACTTCTGGCTAAATATCTCGCTTAACCACCGACTGTCCCAGTCATTTGATAAAATATTAACAAAATATTTACATATAAAAATTTCAAAGTCTTTTTTTGTTTTTTTTGCCCATCCAAGGCTTTAAAAAGATAGATTCATATTGGTTTGTGCTTTTATATGTACGTTTAATGTGATTTTCTTCGGCTATAATCTAATCCTGAAGTTTTACAAAAGATATTATTTCTGCAGATTGTCCTTGTACATTAAGATTGTTCTTGTCTTTATAAATTTGAGATATAAAGCAGTTAATGATAGTCGAGTACAGCTGTTAGAAATAGTACTGGCTTGCAGGTAGCAGAACAGGAAGCTGAATGAAGGCCCAATTTGAACACTTTAAAAAATCCTTCCTTTTTATACCCCTTCCGTTGTTGCCTGCGGATCAGTTTGGAACACAATTACAATGATCTCCATTAGCTTGTGTTTCACACTGGCATCAGTGATTTTCTTAAGAAAACAAGGAAGGAAAATCTAACAGCATTCAAGGTGGCCTCGGGTGTTTTGAGTGATTTCAGTACATCTATCTCTCCATCTACAGTACATTGCATAGTGCTGACAGGAGAGGCGACTGACATGGTGAGCATCTTTTAACTTTCACACTTCAAATCCACTTATATGCTCGTCTTTCTTCTTCTGTTTTCAAGAGATCATCTCTCCTCTCTGGCCCATCATTTTCTTCATTCTGTAGGGTTATCCTTATGCCTGACTGACTTTCACAGTGCGTCACCCAACAATACCATTAACATCACAACCAACACAAATACAATTTTAAAATTTAAATGTAGTTACCAATGATATATAAAAATGACGTGACTAGGACGGGACACTCAGCCGTCCACTTGGCCATGCCTTTTTTGTTTGGATCTTTATCTTTTTGTTCAAAACCAACCTTTCTTCCGTTGCTTCTCAGTGGAGCTCTCATTGCTCTCGTCACATTTGTACTCGTGGCTTCCGCAATGCTTTCTGCTCATCCCATCGACTCCTCCGTTTCTCAAACCCTGTAGCACTCCCTTCTCCTCTCCTGGTGCCTACTCAGTGCGGTGTGTGTGGTTTTCGTGGTGGCTGTTCTCTCCCTCGATCTCCTGGTGACTAAAGAGGTAGCTCCACCAGCTTTTAGAGTGGTGCATCTGTTTAGCGTTCCCAGCACTCCTCACCCTCTTCATTTCCTGCATGAGACAGAGTGTAAAGTTAAAAATGTTCCCAAAGTCATTCTAGCACGTCGCACATCCCGGCATTACACGATCCTTTTCCTTTACCATAAACAAATCTAATCTCATCACCTTCACCCTCATTCTCACCCCTCTATCAAGCAGGCTGTCAAACTCATCGCTCATCCTTCGGAGCTGCTGGCCATATTTCTTGGCTGCCCACAAGACAGGAGGAGCTGATTTGGACCGTCCCCTGAATGGAGCTCCCTCAGTGGGCGTACCAGCCAAGTCTTCCCCCCTTGCCTGGAGTTCCTCATCTCTGGAGACCGTGTAAGCGTGGGACTCTGAGTTCAGCCTGATTCGACCGGTCCCTACACAGGAGAGACAAACTACTGCTTTGAATAGAGCTAGAGATAATCTAAATGCAAAATAGGTTAACTTACATTTTAATGACCTAACGATACAATCTCATTTTAATGTCCTAGAGTGCATCAAAAGTAAAACCTATGTGAGAAAGACCAGTTTCCAATTCTGCAAAATGGAGGCATAAGAGAGAAAGCTAAGAAATGGCAATACAAAGAAAAAAGTCATGTTAGACTGAGTGGTTTCATGCAATGTTTTTTCCCCCCTTTCTTTGTTCAAAAATTGGATGCAGCAGAAAATGTAATAGGATATTGCATTATGTTTCTACAAAATATTTGGGGATCTTGGTTAACAATTTTATTTTGTTGAGCATGCAGCTGCATTCACTGTGGAAATACAACAAACTCTGTTTTTATTTCTGTTTGACAGGGATTTTTGTGACAGAAGTGTGAATCCTGCCATTAACAGACAGAAAAGTAATCTCATCTGGTGCAGGTTGTGGTTAGGGATACTCAAACCTACTTTGGCTAGTGGCATCTTCTGTGGCCCTGTTCCCAAATGTTCTGCTTAATGTTGCAGCAGTTCTTTAATTCCCCCCTTTCCCACAATTCTTTGAAATTTCCTACCTGCCATTCTGAGCTCAGGCAGGTTGAGGGTGTGGCGATGAACAACCTTCTGCTCTTCTGCGATTGATGATTTGTTATTTTCCCCTTCCTCTACCTCCTCCGATGGCTCTGACTCGCTGTCGGAAATGGTGAAGTGTGCTTCCATAGTGGCATCTGGAGAAGTAAGATTGAACAAATATTAGAAACAGGGACGCAGCAAAAATAAAATAAATAACTGTGTATTGCAGACATGGAAGTGTCCATAAGTGAGATGCACATAGTGTACTCAATTCAATGTATAAGAGTTTCTATATAGTCAGTGTAGCCCTGCACTTGACCTGTGTGGGAGAGGTAGTAAACGGACATAAGGCATGAGTCCATACAAATGAAATGACCAAAACAATTTGTTCCTTTTTATCCGTTATTGAGAAGAGTAAGGTGCAAAACAAGTGGCTACATGGTACCTGTGCTACCATTTTACTGTCAAGCAGCACATTAGCTAATTATTCAAGAATCATAAAATGGCATCATCCATTGTATGGCTGATGCTGCCCCTATCTAACACACCCAGCAGGCTATCTGTTTCGCGTTGCCGTCCCTCATATTAGCCAGTCCAAAGGTATTCAGTGTAACAACCTGGGACATATCCGACTTGTTTTGACGCCTTAGACCCATATTTTATACCATTAAAGACTTGTTGTACACTGTAATTAAATCAACCAACACACCTTCTTCTCCGGTCAAACACTGACTGACTCGCTGTTTATGTTGTTGTTGACTGAAGAGGACAAAAGAAACTTACTACAGGGCGGAAGCAGCTGAAGGGCTGTATTAGCTAACGAAGCGTGTAAAAAAAAACGATTATTAATAGGTTTCCTTACCCGAAATGTGTATCGCGTGGTCCTGAAAAGTGCGAATGTGTCTTTAGTTTACCCCATGCGGCCGCAGCTGTTGTTTTTGTTGTCGGTATCTTGGCTTTTCACTGTACAACACAGTTTAGCACCGCGCTCACCCAATCGCCGCGCGTCACTACACCGCCGCTGCGCGCTGACGTCACTGTTGCGAGCTAGGACTGGGCTGGGGCTTTGTTTGTCTCACCGGCTTACCGTAGTGTGCAGCGTAGAGGCGCAGCGGGCAGTTATCGGGCAGTATTTCTATTCATCTGTTTCCATGTGGAGGGGTTCAGATCCCACACTTACGTGAAAGTAGTAATTCCACAGTTTATTAATGCTCCATTACAAGTAAAAGTACTGCTTTCAAAACATAATATAAGTAAAAGTATTAAAGTTATATCACCAGATTGTAC